GTTTAGAGTGGCAATAAAATGCGGACAGTGGATGGAACCACTGCAGAATAACAGCATGCTGCGGTATCCACTGGCACGCTAAAACGTCCTGTCGATAGGGGGTGATTGTCGACTACAGAAGGTACAATATGCCGTAGAAAAGGAGCTACCAAAAGGCTCTGCAGGAAAAAGAGCAGCTCAGAAAGCAGCTGTTGTGTTCTATGCCTCCGCGACATGTCCTTCAACCAATCAGGAAATGGGTCACACTGATTGGGGGCAGCACTCACGACAGATCGAACGAGACCGTGTGCGCGTGGGCAGTGGCGGCCTACAGCTTGACTGTGAAGAAAACATGTCAGTGCAGGGGCTGATCTCAGGACCGCGAATCAAAAGTGGGTCCGGTGAAGAGAGCGGCTTCTGACCTAGACCGCGAGTTGCGATTGACTCCAGTCCAACCATTTGTCTAGAAACGAGAAGTCTTTGTGCCGCAGGCGGATTTATCATTTACAAATAAATCATATTGTTTGCAGCGAATTCCCCATTTTCCTCTGTTCAGGGACAAACATGGAGACGATAGTGATGTTCATGTTCATGAGATCATATCGAGAACGACAAGGGCGATTGGAATAGTCATTTTCGGTTTGTGAGCCTGTGCCAAGGCACCAGACTAGTTGACCTTTGACCATCCGGTCACGTTGCCCTTACGGGGTACTGTTTGTTTTAATGTGACGGGAGCCAAGCTTCACGCCAAACGCGTGCCCCGGCGCCTGTGTGCTCGACAGTCAGGTTTGTGATTTTTTTTACCGCCCTCCTCGCGTATGTTTCGTAACAGGTAGTTTGTTAGTTCGTGAGAACGGCATTATCCACGTGGAGCCATCATCAGCCAACCATAGTCAGTCCCAGGTGTGGGTCAACTGCGATTCGAACCGAAGGTCTCTGGTTATAGAGTGTAACACTCTACAGTTAACCAACAGGCCCGATGTCCTTTCCCTCATGATCGCGAACGGCAAGAGGGGAGTTATTACAAGAATTTTATTATATTAGTTCGATTTTACTTCGTTTTAAGGGCGAAACAGATAAAACCATGATCGGCTTTCAACAAGCAACTAATGCGCATGTCGGGGTCTGCTGCCCAGTGCAAGTGCGCTAACGCTTCGTTTGCTGGGCGCACTTGTCCATTCGCACGGTCGCTGTCGACTCGCCGCGCGTAGGCTCGAAGCTAATCGATACTTCCGCTCCATTTGATTGGTTGCAGG